GCGCCCGCGCCTTTTTAATTCCCCTCAACGTTGTCGACGTTCCCCCTCCAGACCAGCAAGTGACGGAGACAGCACCTTACTGCGTATCATTCTGTCCTTTAGAAGACGCGGACAACTCCTCTCACAGAACGCTGGGTCTATTTATATAAGTCTATGATGTACGCTATACTATACTATATACGCTATAATTCTCCATCTAGTAGGAACCAAAATGGCGGATGAGAATACCTACATATCTAGTGCCTTAGTTACACATGTACGCCATATTATACTAAGCTATACTATATACGCTATAATTCTCCATCTAGTAGGAACCAAAATGGCGGATAAGAATACCTACATATCTAGTGCTTTAAGGCCTGTGTCCACGATCCGAGAACTCGGTCCGGTTTCTCGGATAGAACTTTTATCACCAGATGTTTGTCCTCTATTGACTGCAGATGGTGTTATAATCGACTACATAAAGTTAGACTCGTAATTTTAATTGAGTACCAACATTTTTTTGTGTACAATTAAAAAAACAGGTTATAAATTATATGATCATAACTTATAAATATTTTTGGAAGAATATAAATGTTGAATTATAACCGTAAGTTTTTATTTTATTATTAAGTTTTTATTTCTAATTGTACTGGCATAATATAATTAATTAAGTATTTTAAATTGTTTAGGTTTTTGAGTCTTGGTGCCATCCAATTGATTTAAATATTTTTTTAAAAATGAGACAATAAAAAACGGAAACTAAAAAAATTAATAACTATTGCATTATTAACCGAAGCCGTTGAGCAAGAGGAACTAGAACAAAAAGAAGTCAAACAGCAACAACGTCGTCGATCGATTTGGACACGCAAGTGGATACTTCGAAGAAGTCAAGATTTAAGAGGTACAATTCATTTAGCGCACGAAGAACTGAGATTTGAAAACAGTGATTATTTCCAAAGATTCTTCAGAATGCGAACGGATTTATTTGATCGGCTTGTTGAAATGGTGACACCATTTATACAACGTCAAAATACGAACATGAGAGAATGTATCTCACCAAGAGATCGGTTATCACTCACTCTACGATTTGTAGCCACCGGTGAAGCTTATAGAAGTTTAGAATATTCTATGAGAATACCAACGTGTAAAATTTCTCGTATCATTCCTGAAACAAGCCGTGTAATTTATGAAGTTCTTCGAAAGGATTATTTAAAGGTAAAATATTAGTAACATAATTGATATAAACTTTTAAAATTAATGACGAGAATAAATATTTAATGCTTAATTTTACAGACACCAAGTACAATTGAAGAGTGGACAGAAATTGCAAATAATTATTTCAACTTTGGAATGTTCCAAATTGTATTGGCTCTATCTG